AGTAGAAAAAGCACCAGTAACTTTGGTTATAAAGATGTGAAAATGACTGAAGCTGAGATGCCAGGTCAAGACTTATAACATTAGAGATTTTTCTTTGGATTATATATATATATATATATATATATATATATATATATATATACGTATATGTGTGTGTGTGTGTGTGTGTGTGCATCTTTTGTTTTATTTATAGATATGAAAACGATTGCAAAAATAAATATATACTCACTTTGTCAATCTATCTTCAAATTTCAATATTACTAAGGTGCCCATTGAGGATCGAACTTACAAAATCAATGAATATCATGAAAGAAAATCTTTTGGGTTAAACATGATGTAAGAAATAAATATTAATGTTTGGCCATTCAGTCTCTCTTTATATATATATATATATATATATATATATATATATATATATATATATATATATATATATATATATATATATATATATATGTGTGTGTGTGTGTGTGTGTGTGGCAAAGTCCGTTTCATTCTTGAGTGCAATTTTTAGGATGGCTTGAATACTGCGTTCAAGCATGAAATAGATTCTTGCCATTTGTTGTTGATCTCAGTGTCCACTTTTATATTTGCACATGCTCTATCTTGATATTGAGCATTTTTACCCATAAATATAGTATATCGTAAAACTATATTTTTATCATACACCCCCATATATATATATATATACATGTATATACTCAGTAGAGTTCCACCACGGAATATGTGAGCGAGCGGCGCTATATTGAGTCTGATCTGCAAACTCTTCGTCACTGAAGCCCGTTGGAACAGTTGGCATGATGTTTTCTTGATAACCTAACTGTCAGGGTTTCAATTCTCGGTAGCGGATGCGCACTGCTAATAAGTCCCAAATATAGCACATTCTGTTTCTTTTAGATTCGATGAATTACTTAAATTTAATTATCAAATCCTTCTTTTATATATATATATATATATATATATATATATATATATATATATATATATATATATATATATATATATATATATATATATATATATATATATATATATATATATATATATATATTGGTGGGCATGACCGAGTGGTTAGAAACTTCACTTTCTGATATGACCCAGGTTCGAATCTCACCATGGTTGATTTGTCAGGGAGGATACTTGTTGACGTTACGAGTCTGGAAGGGGGTGATCCCAGCGTATGACACATTTGGAAACCATACCATCGATTGAAATTGGGTAGACGGAACACTTGGGGGCCGTCAATAGCTGTGCTAGCATGAAGTCGCAAGTCATCGTGTCCGAGGGTTTAAGTGTGCTGGCGTTGATCATGCTAGATAAAACGCCCTCTCCCTGTAACTGTAACTAAGGTCTGCTCAGCATAGTTGCAGTATATATAAACCACAGGTTGGCTCTGTGAGTGTTGAATAAACACAAATATGCCTGAGCGAATATAGCCGCCCAAGTAGACTTGCATCCTCGAATACGAGTGGCCGGCTATTATATATATATTTATATGCCCCCATAAATAACTACATGGGGGGAAAGAGGAAAGCTATGCATATATAATATGGTTATATATGTGTGTATTTACGAGTTGAGAAACAGAAATAAATAGCAAGAAAAATGGTAGAAATAGGTTTTATTGCGCGCAAAATATTCCTATTTCACTTTCAATTTACATATCAATGGAATATCGAAAGGGAATGTTATTTATTTTCATGTAGACACCATTACAAAAGGTTACTATCAGTCAGTCCAAACTATTTCAACAGGATAACGTACATAAAAAAGCAGCCATAACTATTTGATCTGTCAAACAAAGATTCACTGTTGGTGTAAAATTAAGTTTGCGAATTTGCGAACGTCTATTTGTTCAGAACTCTTCGCCGGTAAGACAGACAAAGTATTTGCCCATTATTGACAATGGCTTATAGAAAAGAACATTGTTGTCAAGAGAAATAAAGTTAAAAAAAAAAACTGTACGAAAGACCACACGATTTGGCCTTCAGATGATATCTTTTGGGTTGTGATCTTTAGATTAGGCTGAAATGTCTGATTTTTCTTTCCTTCGGTAGTTAAACGATGGAACGATGTACAATAAATTTCATTCATGAAGCCTTACGAAAACCTGCACTTTTATTAACAATTTTATATTTCTTTAAAAGAGAAATATGTGTTTACTTCTAAATATAATATGAATTGAAACTCTTCTCTATAGAATTTCATAAGTTTAACTAACATACTAAAGCATGAAGTGCCTGCATGTATGAATGTGGCAAGTGTTTGATTGATTTCTATTTTTGACAAATAGAATTGAAGAGTTTAACACCGAGAAACAATATTATAAAAACGTTATCCACAGCTGAAAGAGCATTTTCCATGTGTATCGTGAAAGTACTTTTCTAATAAAAACAACAACAATGAGGATATTAATCTTATTAGCATACTGAATGAAAATAATTATTATAAAACAAAGTGCCAGGTTTCATTTTTGTGACTATTAAACAGAATTTGAAATATTGTTTTCATTGCTTTAGTTAGAGAAGCGAATTCATAAAATATATAACTTGTATACCCTATCATTATCATCATCATCATCATCATCTTCAAAATCATCATCATCATCAAAATCATCATTAAAATCATCATCATCATCATCATCATCATCATCATCAAAATCATCATCATCATCATCAAAACCACACAGTCTCAGGACCGAGTGTGGTCGTAGTGTCGGTGTGCAATGCGGATTTGAGTTGAAAGGTCAGAGAGGTTTTCCTTTATGCTTAGTGTGTCTTAGGCGAGTACACCTGGTGGAGTCATTCCCTCTACAGGTCAAACCCCAGCCGCTGTCTTCCAGCCTGAAAGATGGTCTTCGTTATGAACATGTGGCTGTTGATTCAATGGCTTATGCTCTACGCTGGCAATTAATTTCAATTTAATAAGCTCTCCGCACAGTGATGCACATGTCACATACATAGCTATGGAACTCTGTCAACCCCATTGGGATGGGTGCCCATTGACTCTACCAGCAGGTTCATCTGCCCTTTGATATGTCTTGCTTTTAATCCTCTTGTGTGTATAGTCATCTTCCTCACTAGAAAAGCATGTAGGGATGTAATAGATTCAGACCCAGATGACCGGATCATACTTATGGGTTACTTGCTATCAGTTGCAATCTTACAGTGACCTGATATAATCTGTATTCTATAGAAACGTCTTTAACAGATCATGAAATGTTTTGAGTTGTCGACTTACTCTTTATGTTATTGTGTTAAAATCAAAACATTAATGTACAAAAATCTTTTTCTTTATAAAAAGAGTTCCATTTTTTTAAAGGCCTTTAAATAGATCGGTGGAAAAGCTATGGTAACACTAAGCCTAACAACGAATTAGTCCCTGAGATTAAATATCTTCACACATAAATATCAATGTTGATTCAAAATGTAAAATTGAATGAATGATCAAAAGGTGTATTTTTCTTTCAGCAAACAGTTTGAAATGATTCTCCACGTCTCTTGCAGGCTCTGAGAGAGGCCGGTTTTTCCAAAACAGAAGGTTTTGCCGGCCTTTTAGAGATGACACTTTTATTTTATTTTATTTTATTTTTTGAGCTGAATTCAGCAAAGGAAGCTGGCTGATAAATCCTCTGTGTTGCCTGCCAGCTGCTTATGTCACTCACTGATGGTGCTGGAATTAACAGGAGTCCTTTTATCGCTTCAGCGGAGTTCCATCCCTCCCTCGATTATAGCCCATTTCTTCGAAAAGGACTGTCTTAGGAAAACAACACTCTACCACGTTCGTACGTGCCCAGACAGCCACTGTAGAATCTCTTGTAGCCTAGTTTAAAACATTTGAGGTCCCGATTGATTCCATAACCTGTCCAGTGAAGTTTTAGAATGGTGCAGAGATCATGTTGATATAAGCTATTAGGTAGTGATGGTAGATGTTTCAGTATCCGGCACCCTATAATAAGGTGGACACCTCAATATCTTTGTAGATTCTTGATTTTGTGTATTTCGTGAGTTTTCATGATTGTGTCGTCTATCAAATGCTTCATTAGTCTTGGTCAGTCTGTTGTTTATTTCTAAGTTCAGTCTGGTGTTGAAAGATATGGTTTCTTCGGTGAAGCCTTGGACCACTTCCACTTGGGGTCAACAATATTTACTAATTTGTTGTTAATATCTGCCTGTATTTCTGAGATGGGGTATCGTAATTAATTCTACTATTTGCATTGTTCGGACTGCTGTTCTTATCTTTATTACCATAGTCATAACGTTTTGGTCGTTGTATGTTCCAGCCTTCTTCAGGTGATTGGTCCTCACGGAAACATGGCCCAGTGGATAAATATGTTGGTTGAATCAAATGACTTGACCCCAAAAGTTGTGAGTGGCTATTGCAGAGGGTGAACAAAAACTAGGTGAGTTGAGTTAAAGGGAGACACCCAGAAGAGGCAAGGCACGTGGAACTAGTCCTCCGGTGGACGAAATAAAGGATTCAGTTCAAAATTACAATCACCTGAAGAAGGTCTGCGCATACAACGACCGAAACGCCGTGAATGTGGCAACGAAGATGAGGACAACAGTTGAACGTTGTGAATAATGTCAATAATCTGTTGTTAATGCTTTAATATTCTTTCCTTAATTCTTTCCTTACATAACAGACATTTACTTTAAAGAGAATGATCGTTGTTAATGTTTTGAGTTCTATCTTTATTTGATACTCTACGACTGTAGTCTTTTACTAAACGAAGGTAATCAGACTAAATGATGTTTGGCACACGTTTCCCGCTGCTGTGGCCATGAGTTAGTCTAAATCGAGCACTATGCGGACATAGTTATATTAAGATACTTAAATTACATTGATTGCTTCTATAGGCGGAATAGTGTCCATTTGCAGAGTAGACGCTCCACGTGTGTAGAGACTCATATGTGAAGTGAATAACGTGAGGGGAACATTATTATTTTGATAAGTAATAAAAGAAAAAAAAAGATCTATAGTCGGACGTTTTCTGAAAGCTTCTCTTTGTTGAATTGGCTTCGTCACCGCTACGACACCCACATAGGAAACACATTTGCGTTCATTTTATTTACCTGCTTATCTGTTCGTTTTTCTATCTATTCGTTTGTATGCATCGCTGTCTGTCTGTATCTCATACACCTTCATATAAAGTACGGAATATAAAAACACGTAGACGCCTGAATTACTTTAAATGTATTTCAAACATTCCCCAGGTTTAGGCATGGGATATGGCCGGTTGTAGTCATTTAGTTCAGCTACGTTTATTTCATATATTTAAACTTACACATGAACCCCATATTATATATATATATATATATATATATATATATATATATATATATATATATATATATATATATATGTGTGTTTGTGTGTGTATGTGTGTGTATGTGTTGCGTTTGTGTTTCTTTATGTTTGAAGTATATGTACTTACGTAAGTAGATATGGGCCAAATACATCATGATATTCCTAGATTATTCTATTAAAGTGCGTCCATATGGTCGGATCTGACATATCTGAATCAATAGACATTGTTCGAAGTCTATTTACATAAGTTGTAGCTTGATGGAAACGTTCGACTTGAGATGATGCGGTGACAGTACAGAAACGGGTTAAGTAACAATGCACAAAAGCCCAACACACTGTTAGCATTAATATGCAAATAACTCTGTACGAAAAACCGTAAATTCATTATAGCACATGAGTACACACACGCATATATATTGGGTGTATTAAGGAAGCAGTTCTTAATTTATACAAGTCTCGTTAAGGTCAAAGAAAGTTCGTTAAGAAATTAAATATTCCGTATTTAAAACCATTTTTCTGGTTTTCGATAAATATTTAAATATAAATTGTCATATTGTCAGAAATCTTTATACGCCATTATCAAATGATTTTTTTTGTGTGTGATGTCACTTTCCTAGTTTTCCAAATATCGCGTCTTCGCTTTTTATCTCGACCTTTTAGAAATATCGCGATTTCACGAGCGATGCTGAAAGATGCTCAATTCGACAAAGAAGCTCTTTTAAAAAAAAATGTTGACTTCACCTGAAGAAAGACGCATTCACCTTAACTCATACAGCGATAGATATTTTGACAAAAACAAACTTATTATTACAATTATGTGCTACCGTACATTTCTTTTTCGAGTCAGTTCTTCATGCTTTGCTTCCTTAGCGACATTGTAAGTATTGCCCCCTGATTAACAACGTGTATTTTTCAGGTTCATAAAACATTGCTCATTGTGTATCCATGCTTGAGAATGAAGGCACTCTCGCCTGACATTTCAGCTACGATAGGCAGGAGGTTGTGAAAGAGTGTAAAATGAATATTTCCATTGGATTCCTAAGCAAAAACCTGGTAGAGTATCATTCTCGGATGGGACTCCGGATTGCGTTCTACGCAGAAACATTTCCAATGTGAAACAACAGACACTCCTCTGCACCTCTGAACATCGTTTTACGTAGGTGACATCACATTTTACGGAAAAAAAACAAAACAAAAAACAAAACAGCATAGCATAGTGAAAAAACGCCCCCAAACCAATAAAAACAAAGTTTTGTCATCAATATATTTATATTATTATTAAGAAGAAAGACCAAACTATATTTTTATTATTTTGTTAAATTTTTTATTCCTTTCTAGCACGTTCGAAATTTTGGTTAAAAAACTTATTAAAAGTCTTCTGTTAAAAATTAGCAGCAGAAATAATGATAAAGGTTAGATATTTTGTGCTTTTTCCAGTGAAACACACATTAATTTGGAAATTCTTGCAAAAATCAAATAATTGACGGATTTTCATGAAACCTTTAGGACCTATTCAGAAATGAAGGAAGATATATTTAAAATTTTTGTTCAGAAAATATTGGTAAAAATATATATTTTTTTTACATATGTTACCCACCACTTACTTAATTTCATGAAATTTCGAGAAATTCAGTTGTTAGGGCGGGGATGTTTTTTTTTATTAGTTAAAAGTAGAACTCCTTAGAGAAAGTAAATCATCAATTTCTTTTGTAAATCAGTTACTATTTCCACCGAAAATCTTGCTGTGAATTGTAAAATAAAAAAAAATGTATTAAAACTATGATATTATTTAATTAGAAAAGCTTTTAATTGCTTTGATAAATAATGATTTATTAAGGACACTGTTGTCTTAAGAAGAAAGCTTTTTCGGTGAATAATTAATTTTTACAAGAATTGTGTTCATTTTTCAAAAATTTTAATTAAATGACTTATAATATTTAAAAATCGATTAAAATTCTTCGTTGCTTTCAAGGCGACGTTTTGGTAAAACTTTTACGTGGCATTAGTTTAGCTCAAAAGACCGAATTTACCATTCATTTTAAAATCTGAATATACAAAGAAATCAAATTGTTTGGTTCATTTTTCTTTGGTTTAGTTCTTCTTTTCTTCACTTAGCAGGCACTGCTTTAAGGGTTACTCAGTGAAGCTTATTTAATATAGAGTCTAGTTTTGGAGTAGCCGACGTGAAAAGATTTCCGGACACATGCGTTTTTGTGACGTACGGTGGCCGTTAATAATTACCGTATTTGACGGTGTATAAGACACACCCCAATTTCAGCAGGGAAAATCAAGAAAAAATGTGTAATTAGTAAAATTATTAATCTATATTTATGAGGTATTATTTTGGTTAAACAAAGCTATGATTACAATTAAACGAAAAATAATAGGCAAAAAAGAACACGGACCTATAAAAAAAAAACTTTATTATATCCAAAGATACGAAAATAAAATAAAAATCAAGCAATTATTACAACTGAGTAAAACAGTACCGTTACCATTAAAATTCAGTCAAAAACCTTCCTTTATATCATCTGTACAACCTGCGTCTTGTAAACGTCTTAGTGCAGCAATTAGAAATATAAAAATTCTGATTGTATTTATACCAATGCAACCGGAAGTCATCGCAAGAAAAAATATTAATGAAACAAATATACATTACAAATATGAAGAAAATTTGGAAAAAACAAACAAAAATCCTTAAATGCAATTATGTTGTTTAAAATGAATGAAATGTCGACGTCTGACGTTTCGGTTTAATAAACCTTTTTCAAGACAATATTCATTAAAATACAATTCAGTTCAATATGACAAAGACGATGGACATAAAAAATAAGTCTTATCCAAAACAGATAACTGAAAATTTTTAAAATGATCAGCTTTCCGTTTAACATGGTCACGTTGTCGTCACATGGGCGACGCTTTCAAAACGTATTCCTAAAAATTTGTGATTATTTTGAAATGACAAAGAAAATGAAAAGAATTCTAAAATTTTTATGTGTATGCTTGTCGAGCATTAATCTCGCTAAAAAAGGGGAAATATTAAAGAAACCAGGTCTAGTATTCACCGTGCGTGAGATGGATATTATACCTGCTTCATAAATCCTCCTGAGATTTTTATTATGAAAATATTTTAATACCTTCACGGAATCGAAATCGAAATTATGATCTGCTTTAGTTGTGTGTACAACTAAAGCATTGTTAAAATTCCGAGGCGAATATCTCGTTTATGTTCGAAAACACGAGATTTTACGGACCTACATGTTTCACCCACATATTTTAGGTCACAGTTTTTGCATGATATTTGATAGATGCAAGCATCGGATGTAATATGTTGTCTGCTGGTGCTATTTAATAAACTACGGATAGTCCTAGTAGGTAATATAGTAGTTCTAATTTTTAATGCATTTAGATTATGAGAGATACGTTCGGTCAAATGGTTATTTGGTAGAAATATGCGACCAAACGAAATGTTATCAGAGGCAACTGAAATTGTATCTTTCATTGATGTAGTTGTAGTGGCCTTCGAGGTGTCATTTTGCGCTGATGAGTGAATTTTCAACGCTTTATTTTTAGCTCTCTGTAATAATTGTCTCGGATACGAAAGATTTGAAAAGGTATCCTCAATATATAATTTGCATTTATTGCATATAATTTTTGTAAAACAATGTATTAATATTAAACGTGATGAAATTAATATAATGAATATTATCAATGATAACACTTTTAATCTGCATAATAGTCTTTTAAATAATGACAATAGGTATATAAAAGTTACTCTAAAGTCTAAACTAAAAGCAGTTGCCAGGTAGCTAATTCCGGCCTACTATCGCGAATTTTAAACCTACATATGGCATATAAGACACAAGGTAGTTTTCAAAGATATTTTTAGTAAAAAAAAGTGCGTTTTATATGCCGTCAAATACGGTAAGTATAACTCAAGACTTCAATGTTAAGATAAAAAGGTATTTAAATACAAACGTAAATAAATACATAACAAGAACAAAGAAATAAAAGTCAACTAAAGATAATCAACCATTTCAGTGAATAATGACAATCGGTAAATCCTAAATCAAAACACAAATCATCGACGCGCAATAATTCACACTAATTCGAGTGAATAGTTCTACTCAATAGTCACTCAATAATTACCCCATTCTGTAGACTGACACCGCTATTTATACACCTGGCGGAAAGCATATATTCATAAGTCCAGCGTGTCACGCTCGAACCTCGGTGTCGGTAGTTACTCATTAACTTTCTATATGACATGTGTAAATCACAGCCTCTTGAAACGTGATGTGCTGGACTTATGAGTAAATACAATGTTTGTAACATCCACTAACTTTCCTTTTCAGGATCGGAGAGAATGGATATAACACATTTCTAGATTTTGTTAGCATGTTCTTTTAGGAAATAAAGTCTTCATTTCCGTTCATCCAACTTGTCCCAAACCTTCATTATTCTAAATATTTGAATAAATGTCTGTAACTACGGCAAGTACTACTAAGCCGCTCACAATTGGTAAATATGATCAATATAAAAAATTCTAGTGAGCATTATAAAAGCAATGTTCTCTTGCTCTAAATAAAACAAGATACGGTGGAGTAATGTGTAGCGGCTCGAATTGAGGAATCGGAGAGCCGAGTTCGAATTCCAGTCAAATCCATTACATTCACTTACGTCCTAATACTCTTTGGAAAGGTATGAATCCTCTTCTTCTCCCCCGCCCCAGATATAGGTAAATAGCAGGACAGACCACCTTGGAAGTGGGAAAAAATATCTGCCTCATCAGTTATGTATCGAAAGATACATGATCGCCTAAGTGTGTATCACGTATGGCACA